AGATGGAGGATGGGCGTGGCCTGCTGCTGTGAGCGAAGCGCGGCAGCAACAGGTGTTCCGAGCTGTCAGGTAGATCCACATTCCTGCCGCGTTTCCTCCTTTAGCGGCACCTGCTAACAGATTTTAAACTCAAGGAACATGCTCAAGTTTAACCCTTTGATTGCATGAAGCGTAAGGTGGAACTCCATCGCTTCTCGCTAAGCTCGTCACCGAGAGAAGGAGATTCAGATTGGAATAAAAACTCTATTTGAATAGTTGAAAAACGATTTTCTCTCCCCCTGACCTTTATCCCCTTCAGAGCACAGACTGTATCGCCATGGCAACTGGAGTGGTAGTGCTGCCAGCTGGAACGAAGGCTGAAGCATCAGGAAAGAGAAAAAGAGCAGGAATTGCTGAGAGATTGACGAGGGAAAGTGTGGCGCGGTACAGGGAGGAGGTGTCAGAAGGTTCTGCAGTGAGAATAAACGATAGTTGCGCCTGGCTGCAACACAACGCCTCTCTATAATCCCCCACAGATGAACTCCTTCCACAGCTCATTTCACATGAAACCCGTGCAACCCACAGCAGCTCTAATCTGACTTCCATCTCTTGTTTGAGGTTGTGTACTGGAATGCAACAAGCTGTGTGTGTGTGTTTTTATCTTGTCTCGTCCCAGCGTGACCAGTTAAGTGTTTTATGTGACAGCACTGACAGCCAGCTCTGCCTTTATTAATTGTTCTGTAATTGTGAGGTAAGCGCAGATGGGCGTGGCTCAGACAAACCCACACACCGTCCAGGAGGGACGCCCCACCATCTGGTGCAGGAATCCTCCTCCCAGCAGGCGTGTAGACGGATGGGGAGGTGGGAGAACGGTCAAGGCTATTTACTGTACAGCTGCAGTTTCACACTCTTGCTGCTGTTTGACAGGCTCGACAACGGGGACAGTCGTTGTCACTGCTACCGTATCTACTGAGGACATGTTGGGAGGACAACCCAGTGTGTTTCTGCGTCAGGGGGCTTGTGTGTGTGTGTGTGTGTCTTTGTGTGATTACTGCGTATCAGACAATCTCGGCATACGCCCACTTGCTTGTTCTAGCTGTTCGAGTTTCTGCCCTAAAAGATGATGTGATACAGATCTGAACACTTGGTGGAAACCAAGTCAGGGACGATGGATTTTTATATCCAACAATTAGATGTGATTGGTTTAAGCGACACATGAAACGGCTACTAACATTTGTTTATTATGGATTTGTTTCTTTATAGGGATGCACCGATGGATCGGCATTTGATCCCAATCGGCCGATAGCGCCCCTATCGGTTTTGATCGGAGTTTTCAAAATGGATCAAAGCAGACCGAACAGACCATTTTAGATTAGGTTACATTTCCTTTATTCCCAGATTATGTAGTTTGTAGCACTCATTATAATGTTGTAGAAAATTTCTGGCCAATCCACGTAATCGGTATCGGTGATCATCATTCTTTGATATTGGTATCAGTGATCGGCTGCAAAAAACCCGATCGGTGCATCCCTATTTCTTTATATAAATTACCCTGGTGGGCCCTGGTTGCATGGGCCGCAGAGTGTAAAAGGAGAAGAGGAAAAAAAGTACTGGCAAAGCTGAAATAAAAAAAAAGATTTTTTTGTATTAAAATCCTATTTTTTTAAATGGAATCAAATGTAAGTTAAATTTGATTAAAGGTAAATCTAAATATTTTGAATAAAATCAAAGGATATGAAGTTACATTGTGATATTTAGCATCAAGCTGAAATGATGTTCAAAATAAATATTTTTTTTCTCTTTTTATTTCATTCAAAATAAAAACAAATAAAACATATAAACAGTAAGAAATACATAACAAAAAATCTAATTTGAACAAAAAGGAGCAGAATGAAGAAAAACATAATTTCTGCCCCCTTTTCCAGAAGAAATAATCAATTTATATACAATTTCCATTTGTCACACACACACACATACAGATTCATTTTAAACTTTTCCTGTTCTAAATTCCAGTGCAATCATGATCATTGATTTAATTTACATTTTCATAATTATTTAGTACACTCAATTTGGTACATTTTTTAATATATTAAATAACAGAGTTTTTTAAATTTCCCTTTTAAGGTTATTCCATAATTTAACACCATTTACAGATATATTCCACTCCTTAATTTTAGTTCTAAATCTAGGTTTTGTAAACACGTCAGTTTCTTTCAGCATCTAATTACTAGTTCTCTTTTCAAACATCCCCTGAATGTTTGTTGGCAGAGTACCTAAACTGGCTTTATACGTGGTTTGTAAGATTTTCCAGTCTTTTAAATCATGAAATTTCAGTAATTTATATTTAATAAACAATGGGTTTGATGGATCTCCACTATAAAAGATGATTCTCAGAGCTCTTTTCTGTCAAATAAATAAGGGTTGTGTATAGTTTTTGTATGTTGCTCCCCAGATTTCTACACAATAAGTCAAGTATGGAACAATCAGTGAATATGTTAGTTTTAAAACAGATGTATAAAAGTAAATATAAAAAAGTTTAGAGTCAAAACATTATGTGTGGTTACATTTAAATAAGTACCTAATTAAATGTAAAAGTTCATTCTATTCAATTTTTTTAATTTATATTAAATCTTTATTCTTATTTTTGTTATTATTATGGTAATACTTTACAATAAGGGTCCCATTATTAATGTTAATTAGTGCATTATTAGGCATTAATAAACAAAAGATTCCTTTATTAATGTTTCCAGTATTGTTATTGTAACTATTAAGTGTCCCTAAGGTTTGGAGGGGGGGGGGTCATATAAAGTCATTGTTAATACTTTATTTAATAGTTAATTATTGCTTAATAATGCACTAAATAACATTAATAAAGGGACTCTTATTGTAAAGTGTCATTAATATTTTTATTAATAGTGAACATATTGATAATACACTTTAACTATTTTATTATCAGGGTCAGAATCGTTTTCTCTTGCCACGTAAGTGAGCAGTCTTATATTATTGGGTATTTGCTTTGTGGAATGATGAAAATACCCATTTATATTCTGTATATTTAGACTCTAATCCAGGGGTATTCGATTCCGGCCCTGGAGGGCTGGTATCGAGCACATTTTAGTCGTTCCTCTTCTCCAACACATCTAATTCAGTAGTTGAACCTGTGCAGAGGTCTGTTAATTGTTTGCTAATTGAAATCAGGTGTGTTGAAAACAGAGTTAAAGCCAAAAAGTGCCTTCCAGGTCCAGATTTGAATTCCCCTGCTCTAATCATTTGACTTCACTTCTCTTTCAAAGCTGTCTGAATCTGTGTGTCAGCTAAACATGTAATCTAGCATGGATTATATAATACATTATATTTTTATCTACATGCTGAATATGGCACATGTACTTTACATCAGAGCAACACCTGTTGGTCTTTTCTCCCCTTTTGCTTTAGACCTGAGGTTTAAACACAGGTAGATGAGTCACTTTGACTTCCGCTATTTACTGATGACGTGGCTCTCTCTCTCTCGGTTCATTCGCCACACCTGAGAGGATTAGGTCATTGTCACCTCCTTTACAGTAGGTGACTGGCTGAACTGTGGGTGTCACTGAAACTCAACGATGAGTTGCGTTTGCGCACATTTCGGTTTGTGTGAAAGAGGAGGAAATCTTAGAGCTTCGACTGTAATACTTGAAATATGCTGCGGAAATGTAAGCCAGTGGTTTGACTCATCTGACAGGAATCTGACCTATCTGCACCTGCACCTGCCTCTGCACCGCAATGCCTTGCTCCGCTGCCGATCACACGGGGACATTACCATATTTAGAGGAGTTATGTGCTCGCCTGGTCTGGATCGTTCTCGTCATTGTTCCAGTAGACAACGAGGATTTTAAATCTGTGTTCTGGAAAGATGCAAAGATGTGGCTTTGATGTAATGTTGGTCTGCTGGGTTCACAGGAGGGTGCAGACACACCAGCAGCAGCTTCTCTGCATGCCATCCCCGGGTCCAGCCTGTCAGTTGAACCACCAGGCACACCACACACACACACACACACACACACACACACACACACACACACACACACACACACACACACACACACACACACACACACACACACACACACACACACACACACACACACACACACACACAGACCTAAGATCTGATATAAGATAATTTAAAACACACTTTCAAGCTCAAGAAGCGCAGGATTTATTTGACTTGCTGCTTCTTGTTTAACTTTCCTGGGACTCATAAAAGAATTTTGTTTGCTCTGATCTTATCTTCTTCATCGCAATCTTCTGATGTTTACGGTGTGTTTAAAACTTTACGAGCTCTCTTCTACGTACGCCTTCAATCATCACAAACTAATCATAACGCTGCAGCGAGGAGATAACCTGTTTTATTTTGTTGTTGTTTCCATGAGATCAGATAGCAGTCGCCTCATAAAGATATTCGAACCTCATCAGAACATGGACTTGTGTCTCTAAAGCCCGGCTGATTCCGGGTTACAGTAACAGAACTGAAACAGCATCAAAGCCCTTGTGGTTTTTCTCTGCGGCGTCTTGTTAAATTGTTGCTGCATGACTGGCGGAGGCCACCAGATACATCGACCTCACGCAGTCGCTCGGTTACTGTATCATCTGGTAAAACCCAAATCGAACCTACTGTTCCTGCGCTGCTCCTCAGAGATGTTTACAAGAGCCTGAGAAAGACTGATGATGTAGAAAGTGTGTGTGTGCGTTAGGAAATTCTGCAGCAGAACACACCTTTTGCTAAAATCCAGGAAACTTTTAGATGTTCTTACGCTAACCCTATTTTAAACGCTGGGCCTCAAACGAAACAACAAGGAAGCTATTTCTTTGGAGTGTTTGAGATGGCGGCGACTTCAAACATCAAACACCCATAAAGCCAAACTTTTCAATAAAATCTAAATTTAGCGCCACCAGAAGCCCCGAGAGCCTGAATTAGCTCTGCTGTCAGTGTGAATGTGTTAATTATTATGTTTTCATTTTGCCCGTGGCCCTGTGTGCAGGTGTTTTGCTGGACATTCAGCGGGATTACAGTGTGACGGACAGCCAGGCCGGCTTGTTGCAAACAGGTAAGGCTCCTTTAATCCTTTAATTACACATGTGAGCATAGCTGTGTGTGAGATGGTAATTACCCTGTAGCTCTAAATTAAAACAAACAGGAGAATGAAAAACAGCTGCTGCGATACCAAAACTCACCTTTTGAAGTGGACACAAATTTTAGGATTAAAACAGAATTTACTCTAAAAAAACAAAAACACCTCTCTCTAAATAAAAACACTAAAAATGTCAGAGCTGTGACTCTCGGTGTAGGTCACATGTAAAAAATGTGGCTGTTTTTATCACACGCTGTGGGAGAGGCGTTTCCTCGCAGCAGCGTCAGCAGGGCTGGACGTTAGCGGAGGAAAACACAGAGCCTGTATGCACGCTCCCAGGGCGACGGACGGCTCTGGTTCGGGGTAGGGTTTCCTGCGCCGCTCAGTACCCCAAATAAATGTAGCGCTATTGTGGGGGGGGGGGGGGGGGGGGGGCTGGCAAAGCCCTCTTATTGGAGGACAGAAGCCCGTCTTGTCTCTGCTATGCATTCAAACACCAACAAACCTGCACACAAAGTGGCATTGAGGACAAGCAGGCAGGTTTGGGTGTGGGGTAGGTTAGAAAGCAGCCCAGTGTTTGGTTAATGACAAAAATATCCAGCTGGAAAAAAAGACTTGCTGTGGCAGCGAATGCAACATTTTTGCCCTCTTCTTTTTGGTTTCTTATTTTTAAAATTCTTAGTTGATACAGAGACCCACGCCTCAACCTTCCAGGTCCCAGTTCAGACTCCACTCGCTCCCTGATATCCAGGTGACTCGTTTCTCACGCCGTTCTGAGGAATTCTGGTCGTCCAAGCCTTGAATTTGCGAGAGAGGGTATGTGCGGATCAGGAGGTGTGAAGAAGGTGTGAGAGGGATGATGTTGTCTGGATGCAGGAGGAGAGAGCCCCTCAGCTCGGTGGATATTTACAGTTTGGAGATCCGGTGTCCGCCCCACCCCTCAGTGAGTCTCTAAACGGGGACAATCCTTGCCTCTGTGAGCACCTGCAAGCCAGGCTGCTTCTGTCTCTCCACCTGGACACACCAACGTGGATGTTTCACGGGCTCGTTCTCTGCTGCCAGGTCGAAATGACCAGATTACAAATCAGAGATTTCAGCAGCAGCAGCCAAATTAAACATCCAGGGTTCAAGTCTGCCAGGAATTTCTTCCCTTTTCACCTCAAACAACCACGGAAAGCCTTTAAAATGTGTTATCTGTCATGTGCTGTGTTAGCTGGCGCGAACGCCTCGGAACAACACGAGGAACATCCCCTGTGGTGAGCTCAGCCTCTGTGTTTGGCAACAGGCGCTTTCAAAAGCCGCTTACAAAACACTTATTGACCAGATAGGTGTGTGCTCACCTTCATTGGTGTGTTTGTGAGAGGATGACATCTCAGGTCGATGAGTTTGTAGTAAGTGTGAGATTTTCATTTGTGAGCCTGGAGCACTCGGGCCCATCAGGTCTGTGTCAGCGGTCCTCGGGCGGCTGCAACCTGAAGAAACGGAGTCTCACAAAGCTGTGAAGAGGACAGGCTCGAGGGTACGGAGGGAGCTGGAGGTTAATGGAAGAAAGGAAAAGAAAGAGAGAGAGAGAGAGAGAGAGGCCCACCTGGATGGTGTTACCGTTTGGGGGGGGGGGGGGGGGGGATAGGCACTCTTGTTTACTAGACCAAGAAATCTGAGAGAACCTTCTCCAGCAGGTAACACACTGCAGTGATCGTGTTCAGGAGCTTCGAGGCAAAGTTGATGCGTTGAGTTATCTCCTGATGGAAACTGGCGTAATGATTATCCCTCACTGGTCGGTCAGGATGGCTGAACACTGGAGCTTCGGCTCGACCGGGAGCTGAAAACGAGCGTGAGTGTGGCAGCCCGCCTCATCTGAAACACGATCCCACGCACACACACACACAGACATTGACCCAGTCCTGACAGGGTGTCAGTCTGCCCCTGTCAGAGCGAGACCTGTAAGGAATGAGGCCACAGCTGCTGTGTGAGACTAGTGACTTGATCTTCTCACACATCTGACTTCTACGAAACATGCTGCGGGCAGCAGGGGCATGCAGGTCACCCTCTCTCCGTCAGAAAATTATAGAGTTAAAGCTGCTCTGGTCAAATCTCAAAAGCAACCCAGCGTGTTCTGCAGACTGTGTGACGGGGCGACCGCACAAACCCGTGGCTCATGACCTGGTTTGTGCTGGCTGATGCTGACTAGACGCGGCGGCCATTATCGGTTGAAGATGAGCATGAATGACTTCTGAAATCTCTCGGGTGGTTTACGAAGTGTTCGCCATCAGACACATGTAGGGGAAAACAACCCTGACAGCAGTGTGTGTGATGATCTAAACACAGAGGCAGAGCAGCGAAAGGGCCAGCACCACAAGGACACGGCCAAGAGGAGAGGACAAACATGCCCTGAAAACCGGAGACTAAAGCTGCAAGAGCCAGGTGGGATCGCTTCCAAAGCTGCAACTTGTGACCTGGTGTGAGAGGAGAGCAGAAAGTAGGACAGCAAATGTGGAGACGAGAATAGAGAAGACGAAACCAAAGCAACAAACAACACCATCGTGCTTGTAAACAGCCGTGAGTCAGAAGCTTGTCGTGTCCAAAAGAGGGACCTCTGACTTCCTCCATTGCTGCTTGGTCAGCTGGTTTGGTTGCTCTCAGCTGCCCTTGTTTTGTCTCTTGGCCTCGGTGGCATCCCCCTGAAACCTCTCCCTTCTCTCGCGCAGCAGTTTAGCTGCTGTTGCTAGCGTGCTGTCACAGCCACTCATGCCTCATAGAGACGAGAAGCTGAAGGGAAACGAAGAAGTCACCTGTGACTTCCTCCCTTTGCCCATGCACAGCAGCAGGGTTTAATCTTCCTGGTTATTGATTCCCAAACCCGGGTGATTGCATTGTGATGGTATTCAACTCCTCTCCCACTCCTTTTCTTTTTACTTCTCTCTCCTGCTGCGACAAAAATAGCACGATGACCCAATGATGCATCAACGTAATGGCGTCGTCTCAGTCTGTTTTTAATAGCCAGGTCTCAGAGGGTGGGGACAACGGTGGGGTGATGATTGGTGGCGTGCTGTCTTCTTTACCTCCATGATGGACTGCAGGTGCTGCAAATCCAGTCAGGCCTTTAAGACCCGTGACAAGCACCATCAGATTATTTTATTGTTATCTTTAAACAAGTTCTGGCTTCAGTAAATAGTCAGTGACATCGATTCAAGCATAATCTTTTATTCGATAGTGATGACATTCTTCTGTGGCGTCAACAGAAGATGGTGGAGACACCTGGTCTGTCTTTATTCATTTTTATGAAACTAGACCCATTGTGACTAGAATCTGGACCCACTTTTGACTTGTTTAAGATGTGTCATGATGGGCAGGCTTTAGCACATTTTGTTGTGCTGAACTCAGTGATAAATGTTCTAAATGGGATTCATGGGGCCAACATTTAGAACTGACTTGGTTAAACACAGGATCCTCGACTTGGTAAGACTTGACTTGATTCAACAAGCAAAAATGACCTAACTCAACTTGGCTTTAATAACTTGACTTGACTTCAACCTCGACTTAACTCGACTTTGACTTAACTTGACTTAGACTAAACTCAACTCAAGTTCAACTTCGACTTGACTTCGGTTGACTTGATTTTGACTTGACTTGACTTGATTTACACTCAGCTTGACTCAAGTTCAACTTTGACCTGAGTTGACTTGATTTTGACTTGACATATATGACTTGACTTGAGCTGACTTAACTTGACATGACTTGAGTTGTCTTGACTTTGACTGAGACGGTCCATGTCTACAACCTTCTTGGTTAGATGAGCTGTTGCTGCAGGGAGCTCAAGTGTACACAATGTCTAATATAATTTATTATCATTATCATTATTATTATTATTGTTGTTGTTATTATCATTGTTATTATTATTGTTGTTGTTGTTAGCTGCTTCTCCTCTGACTCAAAACATCAAATATGACAGATCCAAGGTTTAGTTTTTGAGATATTTCTGTTTGCTCAGCACAACTGGCCTGACTCAAATTGTATTTTTGCACAGACAATGATTAAAGTTTAAGTATAAATCTCCTATAGGAGACATTTGATGTTAGCTGCCTAAAATAATTTAGGTTTTCTCTTCTTTTATGAGGGAAGACCCCTGCACATATCGGTTTATATCGATAATTAAGGGTTAGACTATATCGGCATATATCACACATCTAGTAAATAGAATAATTGATAAAAATTGATCATTTTCAAACTGAACATTGCGATCAAGCTCGTGTTACAACAAGATTCTGCCTGATTTTCTGGTTTATGCGTGTCCAACAAGGCTGAGTCACGATCAATTGTTGCTGCTCCTCTCACACTCCTCTGTGACATCAACAGATCAATTAAGTACACACACACACACACACACACTCCATCCCTCCCAGTCCAACACATGTGCTCCGCTCGTGTGTGCCGCATCCTCTCAAGGTCAAAAGAAGGAGAGGATAACTGCTATGTTTGCAGTCACTACCATGTCCTCGTGTTTGCGTATAGCAGATTTGTTTTGTTTTATTCCCGCAGCCCCAAATACACGGAGAGCACACGGGAACACAAACACAGACGAGCAAGGTGCTCTTTCATTTTAGTTGGGACTTGTCATTAAGTCGGCTGCTCCTGCCGTTACCGCAGGAAATGGCAGGAAAAGAAAAAATAAATAAATAACTCGCTCTGTGCTCAAGTGTTTCACTGCTGGACTTTAGCACGGTGCCGTGTCAGCAGCCGCAGGAAAGCATCCTTAAGAAACGGAGAAAAAAAAGAGTTACGCTGCAGCTTGGCGTGATAATTTGGAACGTCTGATTCTTTATTTTTACCAGATTGTTTGTTAAATGTGTCGTAAATGCACAGAAGATGAGATTCTGGTGTGCTCCTGCCAGTCGGGCAGCGTGTAATGCTCCCGATCTGCAACGTTCACATCAAGCAGGTAGACAGATTTGCTACAGCTGCAGAGTTCAGTTCTC